TCATTTTACTATTATTTAATTTATTTTTTAATTTTTTTTAAACACAATTTTGTAATTATAAAACTGTAAAATATGCAGCAAACACTGAAATATTTGTATGTCCTATGTATTACATAGAAGATAGAAGTGTAAAATAATTACTGAATCATAACGGCCGAATGTCTAAGAGCTTTCAAGTCTTATTGATAAGCGCTGTAAATAGCATGTATCCAATCGAACCGTGTTCAATCGTATGCAAAGTAACGACAAAAGTAACTGGAAATTTCGTTACCGTTACCCAAAAAATGTAACTCGTTACCGTTACAGTTACCAAAAAAAGAAAGTAACGCAGTTACCAGTAAAGTTACCAAAAAAGTAACTTGTAACTGTAACTTCGTTACAAGTAACGAGTTACTTCCATTCCCTGTCAAAAATGCACCCAAGAGTTATCTGAGTGTCATTTCTGAACGCACCCCTGTATATTTATGAAATATATATGTCGTGATTGTGAGGGTGCCAGCACATGCGGCGTAACTTCCCTGTCGGCACCGTACGTGGCAAACACGTCACTGTGACGTGCTCTCGTCGCATGCTACTAGAGTACCTATAAGTATATCGTTCGTTTTGTCTCTCGAGAGCATCAGAGTCGCTCCGAACGAACCTAGCATACTTGGATGCGGTCTATTTAATGTTGTAGATACCTCAAAACATACTTTGATTGATCAATTCGTAAAATTTTTTCTTCTGATTGATCAACGAAGCATTTGCAGTATTAAATGGATCACATCCGAGTACGCTGGGTTTATTCAGAGCGACTCCGAGCAGCTCCCGAGAGACAAAACGAACAATACTATTATAGGTACCTAGAGAGTACCTATTAGAGTACCTATTATAGGTACTATAATGCTACGGGTGCGTTCCGATATGCACTGCCAATACTGGCAGCACTGCGAATGCCGTTCCGATATACATTGCAGTAAAATTTGAGGGTATTGTTATACATCACGAAGTAAGAGAGAAGGAGATCGAACTCTGTGAAACGTAAATGGTCCTAGTCCGTGACCCTTAATTGGGAGGGAGTCCGCTGAAAGGAATGAATTCTTATGGTTGGGCGCCATTTGCAACTAACCTTACCCGAACAGTCCGGCCTGATCCATTGCTTGCATTAGACGGAGAGGTCACGAAGTAAGAGATCGTGGGTGAGGTTAGAGTTCCAAAAAATTAAAAAAGGTGAAATATTGAATATTTAATATTAAAATGAATATTACATTATTATATTATATTATTGAATATTTAATCGTTTAATTTATAATATTTATATGCTTTAATTCTGCTAATTTCGTGCACAGTAGCTTTTAGTACGTATTAATCTAGCGTAGTGCAAGTGATCGAATTCACTATTAATTCTTATAAATCTTTACCTTTTTTAATTTTTTGGAACTTTTAGTCTTAACCTCTCCGTATAATATAAGCACGCTCTTACTTCGTGAATGCAAGCCAGGCCGGACTGTTCGAGTAAGGTTAATTGCAAATAGCGCTCAACCATAAGAATCCATTCCTTTCAGCGGATTCCCTCCCAATTAGGGGTCACGAATCAGGACCACTTTTTCAGCTTGCGTTCTATTAAGTTCGGTCTCCTTCTCTCTTACTTCGTGTTATACATATATGACGTTATAGATTTTGTCGTCATTTCCTGCTTGCATTACTGCAGCTCACGAGGTGAGGCATTCGCAGTAGAAACATGGCGGTGTCCTTACAACGTGCATGTGGCATTAGACATTTCTCATACAAAGCCATTACCAATAACGATTCAATTTCTTCTTCGCTGTTTGAACATTCACTATCTGAATCTGGCTGTTTTCCGTAAAGCGCATATGCGCGCATTCCCCTATAGTATACGTGACGCTCACTATGTAAAATACGTGCATATGCGCTTTGCGGAACGCAGCCTCTATTAAATGCTTCGCTAATTCCGACAATATAACAAGTTTTGCAGCCATCGTCCGATATCAGCACTCTACCAGCACTGGCAGTACTGCAAATGCCGTTCCGTTATAGCAGCTACAATTAAGCATAAAAGTAAGGGACTACACAGAATAAAAGGAACAGGGAACAGAGAACAGAGAATAAGAATTTCAACCTATCAGAAATCATGTACTGTGGAATAAACAGTGTGTATTCCATAGTACATGATTTCTGATAGGTTGAAATTCTTATTCTCTGTTCCCTGTTCTTTTATTCTGCGTAGCCCTTAGCTTCTTTCAGACTTAAGGAGTCTACAGACCAGAGCGGCGCAGCGGTGAAGCGGGGAGCGATAGCCAATGAGAGCCATGCTTTTACGCAAAAGCATGGCTCTCATTGGCTATCGCTCGCCGCTTCACCGCTGCGCCGCTCTGGTTTGTAGGCTCCTTTAAGGGTCGACAGGAGTGACCCACTCCACTCCTGTGGAGATAAATTTTTTATTCCCAAATTACGGCTAAAATACTGGATGGATCGCGTTTTAATTGTGATATTCGTAATTAGGAAAGGCACCTGAAGGCTCGTACAGAGCTATTTTTTTTGTAAAAAAGGCATAATAAAAATTTGTTCTGTTATCTCACTCGATGTGCAGTTGAGAGGTGTATACATGATCTTATTTTAATAAAAATTTTCAAGAATCAATTTGCAAATCTGACTCTGTACGAGCCTTCCCAGCAATATAACAATGAAATCCCAACAGGTTTCATAAGAAAATATTGTTTTTTTTGAGAAGAAAAATGAGCATAACTAACCCAGATCTGCACTGATTTGCACTCATAAATCTATACATTTATGCTGAAATTATGGCTAAAATATAACATGAATCGTGTTTTGATTGTGATATTCGTAATCAGAAAAGGCTCCTGAAGGCTCGTACAGACCTATTTTTTTGTAAAAAAAAAAAAAAGGCTAACAAAAATATTACGGGAGTGGAGTGGGTCACTCCTGTCGACCCTTAAGGTACCTTTTTACTAGCTGCTGAAACTGGCCGTTCCAGCGACAAAAAAGGTCACGTGATAAAAATTGACGAATAGCAAGCGTCATATTCTCTTGCTATTCGTCAATTTTTATCATGTGACCTTTTTCGTCGCTGGAACGGTCAGTTTCAGCAGCTCGTGAAAAGGCACCTTTAAATGGATATAGATTGGTCGCGTTCAGCAGACTCAACAGTTTTACAACTTAGAGGCCTAGAAAACAGAGATGCGACATTGCGTCGGGTTAGGTAACCACCGCCATTATAATTCAATATAAGTGCTCTTGACCAATAAGCTGATGACAGTTGATGCGAAAGGTAGAAAGATTAGATTAGGTTAGGTTAAGTCCGATATTAAATATTCACACAAATAAGAATACTTACACCATAATAATAGTTTTTATTGCACTTCGACACTGTATTGTCTAAATTTTTCTCTCTATATATATATATATGTATGTACATACGTTATAAAACTATATCTATTAAGCTATATCCACACAAATTTGCATAGCCGCATAAACGAATGCATAAGGAAATTGATTGGTTCATTTTCTTATGTATTTGCTTATGGACCAATCAAATTCTTTATGTATATGGTTTATGCATTATGCTCCCCGCTTTAGATGCAATAGGGAATTAAAATGGCTCTCTGATCACGTGATTTAGACAGCCAATCAAGCCATACCCTTCAATGACGCATCTCTGTTTTCTAGGTCTCTATTACAACTGTTTTATGATTCTTTGCTGAGATAGGACTATTCCTTTAGATCTAAAATTATAATCCAATCAGCGAGACGAATCATAAAACGGTTGCAAAACTGTTGAGTCTGCTGAACGCAGCCATTGCATCATACCACATCATACGACTCCGTCGAATGTTCTATGGATACGAAAAAATATTTTTGTCTTTATTTTCACTTGATGCGAGGTACTTCGGAGAAGGATAAATAACGTTACATTTCGCAGTCTTTCATATTTTCAAGAAACTACTGGATTTTCCTTGTTGACACGAGAACAAAGTTTGTAAGAGACGATGTCGTTTCGAGAAATGTTTTCACTTATACATGGACGAGACCAGGTACGAAGACAGTACGAAGAGAGGCACGAAAGGTTGAATCGTTTAAGCGTGACAGGAAATGCAGTTAACTTGAATAAGGTATTTGTTTTCTTCTAATGAGAACTTGATTATTCTATCAAAAATAAATTTACTTTGGATTCAATATCTTTATTGCATTGTAAAAGAAAAATTGTTTATTTTTAGAAAAGTACTTATATACGATCGTTGGTCGATCAAGCATTGGAATTGATTGATCCCACTCCTAATATTCACACAATGTTTGTACAATTTAATGCTAGTTTCTTTTGGAATACTTTATCTCATGTCGAAGTAAAATGGAGCAATAGAATGACAAGGTAAATGTTTCTCATAACCTAAGGCATTTTTTTAAGAAAGGTAACAGTGTAACAGCGGTCACATTCAACGGACTCAACTGTTGTGGTGCGGATCCGTGAGCGCTCATAGATCTACTCCGCAACAGTTGAGTCTACTGAATGTGACCAATGAATCATTACAATTTTGTTGTTTACTAATATTAAACAAGAATGATATAATCCGCTGCACTTAAAATTTATAAAATTATTTTATTCTTGTTATATTAAATATTAATCAAAACACTTTATGAATTTACTCACTTTTGTAATTTTTACTTTGTTTCAAGATATATATTTGACTTCAAAAATTGATAATTGTTTTCATATCAGTTTTGTTTTCTATTCTTACATTATGGTTGTACTAATTTAAAAAGTGAACTAAAGCGTTTTCTGTTCCTAAAATGGCGTCAGCAATGCTATTTTCCAGTGCAACAGAACTCTGTGCAGAAGTTTACCGAATTGGCTGTACTAGTGGTCTATTTTCTTTTCCTGTATTAGACTACGTTAGAACTCTTTTACTTTCGACAAACATCAGACATATTTCACTTTGAATAATTAAATTAAAAGTATACACTAGTTTAGCTGCAGAAAACAGATTTTGTACAAATAGTGCAAAAATTAACGAATAATAAAATAAAAAAATATGTAAATGATGGTAAGCTTACATACAAAAATATTTTGTACATCATTTCAAAATATTTCTGTATATAAGTAAATTTACTATTATTTATCTGGATTGCACTAAGTTCAGTTCAATTCTAGTAGCAGACAACACACAAGACTAATTTGCAATTGTTTATAGTTGTGCTGGAGTTTGTCGCTTTAACTCGCATAATAAGGAGTGTACAATATCACTCAGTGCACCACTTCTTAAACTCAGGCCAAGGAAGGATCTGGTCGAAACCTTATTGGTAAGTTTCTTGATATTAGTAGGAAGAGAGGAAGAATAGATTAATCTCTCTTACAAAACGAGTTATAGGAGGAGTAAGATATGCCGATTGTTAGTTCGCAAACTGAGCGCTGAGTTACCTGATATTTCACTTGCTGATTATGTTTTGATTTAGAATCACCCTACACTTCTTGATAAATAAATATAAAAATATAATTTTTTTGTGTAACAGAGGCTATTGTGTAAAAATATTGTATTATGTTTTGATTTAGAATCACCCTACACTTCTTGATAAATAAATATAAAAATATAATTTTTTTTGTGTAACAGAGGCTATTGTGTAAAAATATTGTATACTGATAATATCTTTGTGTGTTAAATTGCAGCATGAGATGATTCATGCATATTTATTCATAACAAATAATGATAAGGACCGGGATGGTCATGGACCAAATTTTTGCAAACACATGCACAGGATAAATAAAGAAGCGGGAACCAATATAACAGTGAGCTATAACATTTTTATCTTAATATTTACACTATCAAACAGTGATGTGTGACTACTCCAAAAATCTACATTATCACAGATACATTGTCCTTAAAACTATTCATTAGACTGCTCAGTTTAATGGAACCTATACTACAACCATACAAAAAATTGTCTAATCTTGACAATCATTAAATTTAACAATATGATGAACAAGATTTGACTTGAATTTGGACATTACCACCTGAATATTTCTTATCTTATATTTACATTAAGTATAGTTGTATGTGCTACCATCATATACGCAATTTTATATTTAATCGTTAATTTTATATTATTATATTTTGTACTGAGGAAGACTTTAATCATAGGTCAAAACGTATACGTTTTTTTTATTTCTAATAAATTGTAAGAAAAGTGCACTCCAAGAACTTGTGTCGGCTCAAATTAGCATCTTGTTTTATTTTTGTGATTTATTCAACTGAGCCTTTTGATTATCTTATATTCTTTAAATATTTTCATGTTTTGAAAAAAAAAAATGTATATTTTGTCATGAATTAATACGTTAAAAATGGCGAATAAGAGTCAAATTACAATTTAAAATCTAAATCTGATAATTTATTCTAATATTCTATATTGCGAAGAATATCACATAATTTTTTGGCGTTTCGTCCCGGCTTCCACTACTGGACTCATCAGTAAGGTATTGTTCGGCGCGCAATTTGGGGGGACTACATATGTTATACGCCATTTTTAACGTATTAATTATTGTTATATAAAAGAGTCCTTTAATTCTTCAATTATTTGTTTTTGTCATGAAGTCTTTATATTTCTAGTTTCATGAAGTTTTATGAAATCTATATTTTATCATAAATCTTTAAATTTGTTAATTCTAAATAACAAGATTTTTTAAATTTGTTAATTGAATATAGATTTATCACAACTTTCATGATGAAGTAAAGCTGTACAAACAGCATTGGTGGAAATGTAACGGACCTTGTCAGCACAAACCTCCATTTTTTGGGACGGTTCGACGAAGCATGAATCGTCCACCCGGTCCATCAGACTTCTGGTGGCATGGACATCAACAAAGTTGTAATGGTCAATTTACGAAGATCAAAGAACCAGAGAATTTCAAATCACGTTCAAACCAAAGTGATAAGTTAAAGAATAAAAGAATAACTGATTGGTTACCAACGGACGTGGCTAAAATGTTTCGAAGGGACAATGTTAAGCCTAGTACTAGTAAAGACAATGGTGGAACAAGTTTATCTCATACTGTGAATGAGAAAGATACTCAAGATTTGTCACTGGGAATGAAGAAACTTGGCAGCAATAGTAATAATGTACATGGGTTGATACTCGAACTACCCAGTTCGAGTGAAAACGCAAAGAAGGATGATGCAAAGAATGTTTCCAAGAATCTCCAGTTTTCTTGTTCTGGTGTTGTGGGAGGCAGTAGCAGTGGTCAGAGTAATCTTTTAACCAAATTCAAACTAAATAATGATAATAGTCCTCGAGGTGAATCAGGTAGAAGAGATTCAACTTCGACATTGGTCGCGGGACAAGCAACTGCTAATGATCCGGTTTTAAATCTAAGTCATCCAAGAAATAATTCCATATCTTGTCCTATCTGTAACATACCTATGACTTTAGAAAATATATATAGACATATAGACTCATGCCTAATAAACGATACTACATCACTGATTGATGAGATTAATAATAATATCAATAATAATAACAACAATGAAGAGTTAATATTGCCTATTCGAACGTTTTCTACACCAGTGATAGAACAAAATGTTGATACGAACACCGTTCCTAATAAGCGCTTAAGATCGGATAATTCGAACGAAACAGTCGAATGCGTCATTTGTCCCGTTTGTAATAAAAGATTACTGGCCACAGATATTAACCAGCATCTTGATGAATGTCTATTAGAAGCAGATACAGCTCGTAAAGCTGCCATTCCTTCCACCTCTCGTGCGTCATTTGATGATAGCTTAATTACTATAAACAGTTCTTCTAATTCTAGTTTGGATAATTCTGTATTGATGGAGAATCCACAACCAAGTACTAGCACCTGTAATAACGATGTAGTTGATTTTGAACGAAAATGTTTAGTTTGTAACGCACACATTGCACCTGAAATGTCATTAAATGAACATCTCGAAGAATGCATTGGAAGCGTTTTTAATGATGAGATAATAATAGATGATAAGGAGGACGATAACGATGATGCGCTTGCTGTAGAAAATAATTCCACGGAAAATAAATATCCCTGTCCAGTATGTATGCTGGTAATATCGGAAAATCTTATGAACCAGCATTTAGATATGTGCCTTAAAAACGAATAAGTGATCTTGTGAACAAAAAGAGTAACAATGAACTATTTTACGGATAACGAAATAGTTTTTTTTTTTTTAATTGAAATGATCGGAATAAATATCTTTTCATATATTATATTATACAAATAATTTACTTCTTTGCATATCGCAACAAGGCGATTTAGAAAATATAAGGACATTATTAGAAAAATAAATATACAATTTAAAAAGATATTTCTAAATTGTCATATATGTATTAAATAGAAATTTAAAGTACACATTATAACAAAATCTGTATTACAAGAGGCATATTTTACATGCCGAATGTAATTATTAACAACGCTTGTATAACCTGTACATAATGTGTGTATTTCTATTTGCATATATAATTTCGTACAGTATAAGTTTTTTAATGATTAAGACTGGTTAATAAAGAGTTCAGATTATTTATCTAGAAACTATTATATAAAATTCTCAGTGTTATTTTATAATAAATAGTAAACAATATTTATGGCTAGTAATCGGATATTATCTAGAACTTTAACATTTAGTCATTTGTTATAGAGCTGCTTATTATTATTTGCTAAAATTTGTATGTTTTGATGGAAAAGAAATAGAATGATAAAATTATAATGGAATGATTGTGTGTATGAATTATTCAGATGTTCGGCTTACATTACCCTGTATTTGTTCATTAACAGCTCTTTTAATAATTAATTAAATGACTGATAAAACTGATAATGAATAATGAGGAAATTTTTACCATTATAAAGTTCGTGAATAGTCACCAGAGCCATATTGCATAGTAATGTCAGAGGTGAGAAATGATAATTTTTGTTACTTGCCATTTGTAAATAAAAACAATTGGATAAAATCAAATAATGAGATTGTTTTAAAACATTCGTAAAAATGGACAAAAACTATGCTTATCCCTCCTGACAGTCAGTAAATAATCTGTCAAAAGATGTATGTAAATGAAAATAAGCTACACATGTTGAATAAGAGCGCTTTACATGTTATTTAATCAATATGCATGCCTGTAGCCTATTCACTACGGCTATGGTGACTATTAAGAAACCTTAATTGACTAATGAATTATTCGATGGCCGAAAATCTGAACTCTAGTTATGTAATTATATAGATATCTTTTTTGTACTATGCTATTTATCAGATATTAAAAAATGTATAAAAAAATGAATATAAAATTATTATTTTGTGACATCATTAATATTACGTTGCATTATATGCATGTAGTACATCCTTTACTGAGTAAATTAGAGTTTCTCGTATAATCTGTCGATGTTGGGATGATCGAGGGTGCATATTCCACAACTAAATTCCAGTACATGATTGGGGAAAAACATCAGAACTTGTTCCTGCGTCCAGTGCATATACAGAAAAATATTAGATAGCAATATATCAATTGCCTTGTCGCCCGTTTTAATCCTGTACAATTAAAACATTTTTTTACTCTATAATCAAAGAGCAAGAGTGATATACAGGGTGTTTGACAAGTAATGAAAAATTCTGTCGCATAGGGGTAGAATGGACTAAACTGAGAAGAAAAATCTTGTATCATTTTATAATTTTCGCAATATTTAATGAGATATTAATTGATAAAAATATCTTGTTAACTATTGCGAAAATTGTAAAATGATACGGGACTTTTCTTCTCAGTTTAGTCCAGTCTATTCCTATGCAACAAAATTTTTCATTACTCGTCAAACATCCTGTATATATTATAAATTAATAATATGAAAGATTCTCTCGTTTTAAACATAAAATTTTTTATTTTTAACATAGATCATATATTATGGATTTGCTTTGAGATTATTTAATATTAAATGCTATTTTCTCTACTTACTTCTTAGTTCCTAGCTTATGAAATGTGTAGTCAGATTGCAATTGTATGTATGATGTGGCATTATGTAGGGTTCCTCTATCCTTATCAGCCATAATTCGTGTCGTACCCGATTCATCAGTTAAATTGACACTGATTCCATACATATCATTGACAGCCGTTAAAACAAATCTAGGATTCTCATCATAACATTGTCCGAGTAATATCACTTCGCTATTTTTAGTGAAGTTGTAAACTGTATTATATGCCGATTTTATAGAATCTGACGTTATAATACATGCGCCTAAATTATAACATTACATTAAATAACGCTTAAAATATCGTAAAATATCGTGGTACTTTCATCAATACGGGCAATTTAAAATAATCAGCGCGATATTACGTACTAGAAAACATTTTGAACAAAGGTATCTCCATATACTTGTGAATTCTCGTTCGTGTCAAGAAAAGATCAATGAAGTACGAATCGTATTCGATCGCAACTTTATCCCCGTTAAGTTGCAATTCACTGGCATTCGAGTCTTTCGGAAAAATCGCTGTTATCGCAAACTGATCGGATTTTCTTGCAGTACTGCTGTTACCACCGATAAGATCATACAAGGCATATAATTTCCAGAATAGTTTGGACAAACTCTCTGGTAACTGTCGTTTTCATTATAAGTTTGATTATTATATCATTATATATTTATATATAAAGTTTTACGAAAGGGACCTTTGAAACTTACGTTTTCGTATTGCGCTAAGATTTTATATTTTCGCAGGGTTGACATTTCTTTCGATACCTCGTAACAAGAGTTCGTGTAAGGAACAACTCTTTTCCCCGCAGATTCTTTTCTGCACTCGCCGAACGGCCAGCTTGTTCTCTTACTTTCCTCGAGCTGCTTACTACTGATTTCACCAATTAAATTAATAGACAGAGACGATCCGCTGCATTTGCCCTTTGCAGTATCTGACAATCCCCAAATGATATTCAATTTAATGCGAGAGGACCCACTTGGTTCGTTACTCAAAATCTCCCACTGCCATGGCGTGTGTCTTTCGATCTCTACGCAAAACTAAATCAATTTCAGTTACATTTAACGTTATTGCGCGGAAAAAAACAATCGTGGTTGAATTAACATGATATATTTGGTTAAACAAATTTTGGTAAAAGAGTATTTCTGGTTATTGTACTCAAATATTCAGTTACGCAATCAAACCATTTAAAAAATCGGTAATCAAAGGGCAAATGAGAGTACAGCATTGTTATTGTTACGCAAATCCAATAAAAATAGATTTTTCTTCAAAGTCAATTTATTCAAAAATTAAATAGAACGTTTCGGTTCATTTTGAACCTTCCTCAGCTAATGCATATTATTCATTCAAACATCAATTCAACTTAAAATGATCCTTGTAAGACATGTCACATCAAATTGCTCGATGAGATGTTCCAGTTCTAAAGAAATATTATTTACAATAATAATAATATCACGCACGAACAATTTTAAAAAACAACATAAAATGTACGACCTTTACGAGCAATAATTAGATCTTAAAAATTAAAATCTCAATTTAATATAATCTTACAAAGACATCATACATGAATTTCAATTTTGAAATTCATGTATGATGTCTTTGTAAGATTATATTAAATTGAGATTTTAATTTTTAAGATCTAATTATTGCTCGTAAAGGTCGTACATTTTATGTTGTTTTTTAAATATTATTTATTTTATCTTTTCATATATACGATAATTGAAAACAATCTACAGTAACATACCTCACAAGAAACACAACAAAATCCGATCTTGAATCGTTCATTTTAAATAGGTATTTTGTAATAAATTAGAAGATCGAAACTTAGTATTTCATTACCTTAGACGAAAACTTATATCTTAACTCTACTGTGGCAGAAAGTCGACTAACCATTTAAATATGATAATAGTTAGAATTTGGTTAGTGTGTATGTAGTAATAATATCCAAATATCTAGTTATTGTAACTATAATACAAGGGATAAAAAACATAGTTGGCTTATATCATATATGGTTAAAAAAGTATTGATAGAATTAAACAAAACTTCTACTTAATAATTAAAAGATCTGGTATTTGTATAACATTTAGATGCAACACCAACATAGTTTAGATCTTGCAAGCGAAAAAGATTGGTTGGATTAATATGAAGCATGGATATAACAACCTGACTATTTGGTTAAATATGAATAATCTAAAATATTCATTATCTTAATCAGACAAATTTGGTTAGACATTTTGTTTCTTAACGATTGCGTTTGGTAGCCAGCTTTTGACATCTTCTCAACTATCGGTTGAATGATCTTCGATCAGTTGAATGATGTAAATTGTGCAAAAGTTTCTCATGTACCAAAAATGAATCAGAAGATATCAGATTAAAGTGCTGTAATTTATTTATCTGTATTATTTGTCTAACTATACCTAATAAAAAATGTAAGATTAAACCAATAATCTACCTAGAAAAAACTTTTTCCTCATTTCGAACCAGATTGTTTCGTCGAATAAAAAATCTATGTTAATAATATATATCATGATATTACAACTAATAATTTGGTTGACTTGTTCCAAGCGTACATAATCATATGTTATCTGGTTGCCTTAACTAGAATGCGTGCCACCAAATTTGTCTGGTTATATCAAATAGAATGTATAAGTAATTAAATTTGTTTGTCGCATTAATGAAAATTTCGTTCATTTTTCACCAAATAATCAAGTTATTGTAGCCAGATTCAGGTTAATTCGATCAATTTTGTTTCCGTATGTAAATTTCATATAGAATTGTTCTATTTACCTTAAATACATGTTCATTAGGTACAATCTTGGTTGCTTTAAATTTGATCACATCCGATAACCAACTTGTGGCTTCGTATAATCCAGCTAGATTCCATTGATGAAGAACCTGCGAGGACTGCAGGTCGTAGTGCGTTAAAGATAAAATGTGATGATTTTCACTTTTCAGGTATTCCAATTTTGTCTAATAAAAAAAATCATAACGAATATAACGAACGTAATAAATATTATAGTATATAATACAAGCATACGAAATGTACTTGACGGCAGTTTCTCTCTTTTTGCATCCGTGGACATAAGAACAAAATTCTTTCTTTGATTTTTTATGTATAATTTCATACAAATATCTGTATCGTACCTGTGACGGTCCGGATTTGAGTGCTTCAATATAAGTAGCTAATCCACAGCTACCTTTTGGCGGCACAAAAGTGAAGTAATCCAAAAAATGCAATCCGATTAAGACAAGTTTCATACTTGGCCATGTTCTATAATTTTCAGTAAAATCGAGAATAAGATGTGTTTTGATAAAATAATAAAAATGAGATAATAAGATATAAAAACCATACTAATGACAAATATGAGCAGAAATAATCTATAATAAAATTTAAATGTAAACACAATCAAATCCACGTAAATAAATTTTCAATATTGAAGTTAAGTTTTATATAAAAAATTCTATATTTTTACTAATTTTATTTTTTCATATAAAATTATTACTTTTTCTAGTTATTTGTTAATATATTACGAAACACTATACATACAAATAAATATGGATTATTATAAATGATACGTTACTGATAATTGCTTCGATGAGAGAACCAAATGTCGTTGATTAATGTTTTATACGACATCATGTTTTCACAATCGAATATCTTTACTTGTAACCAACTACCTAACTCAGGAAGCCCAACGTTAAGAATATTCATCGTCTGTATAGAAAATAAAGAAAGAAGAAAATGATTTATATGTATATTTATTAATATATTATAAATTAATATAAATTTAATAAATAAATTGAAGATTTCAAGGACTCTTTTATATAATAATAATTAATACGGTTAAAAACAGGGCGAAATAAGAGTCAAATTACAATTAAAAATCTAAATCTAATAATTTATTCTAATATATTGCGAAGAATAAATTATCAGATTTAGATTTTTAATTATAACTATATTAATTGATTATATACGTGGTTTGAAAATAAACTAAGATAAATAATGAGCATATATACCACTATACTGGATCTTTTTTGTGAGAAATTGTCTTTAATATAATTAAATTAAATTAAATTAACGTTTTTCGATCCTAAATGTGACCATCTTTTAAGACGTTTTTCGGTCCTAAATGTGACCATATTCATTAATTTATTCTAATATACTACGAAGAATATCACTTGTTTTTGGCGTTTCGTCCCAGCTTCCACTACTGGACTCATCAGTAAGGCATTGTAGTGGAAGCCTACCTTATACGCCTGAGATAGTTGTTTGATCGAGATTTTATATAAAGAGATATACGCGTATTTAGGACCGAAAAACGTTTATTTAATTTTATTTAATTATATTAAAGACAATTTCTCATAAAAAAGATCCAGTGTAGTGGATCTTTTTAATGACCATATATTTTTTATTACCATATATGCTCATTATTTATCTTAGTTTTTAATTGTAATTTGACTCTTATTTCGCCCTGTTTAACGTATTAATTATTATAAATTTAATAGCAAAAGAAATACCTATCGAATTAATAATTACCTGCAGATGAGAGGACGGCGATTTTACAACCGTATGTGACACGGAGCACGAACGACAAACTCGATTCAACTTTGATCGGACATTAGCACCTTTAATTCTCGTGAGCGTTCTAGCGTGTACTGTAATTCCTGTTTTAAGATGTTCTGCAACGCAATTTTTAGAACGTAAAACGTTAAGATTGAATGGGATACTCAACCAAATGTTAAGTATTTTTAAGAAATGACTATGATTTATGAAATCTATTTCTTGAATATTATAAATACGTTAAGTTGAATATCGTATAAATTGTTTTAGTATAATTATTTAATTAATTAAATAAGACTGATACCTTCTAGGGTGTTGTACGAAATGAATGGTCGTTCGTCTAATCCAAGTGTAATGTTAATAGGAAGATATCCATGTAACGACTGAACTCTTTCAGCGCTATGCCATAAATCAACTAGTGGATTATAATTTTCTATCGTTTCAATGCCGTGAATAGATGTGCTAAAAATATTTCAAATACATAAAGAAATCTATTAAAAAAATATATATATATAAATTATCATCTCTATAACACATTGTAAACATCTATAAAAATTGGCACGCGATCCGGGTTCGACTCCCGGCCAAGGTAATATTTTTTTGGCAACGTAATTAAATTATTTACAGATTTTTAATATGCCATTCATAGATTTTAATATGTCATTCAACATATTATTAAGATTCTAGATGCAATGAGCATCAAAAATTGTTAGATTGTTAATTAATTTAACTCGTGATAGTACTGAGGTAGTTTAATAGTTTGCGTTGTAAGTCTGAAAAAAATTTCGGCGCGCATTTAGGGATCTACATACGTAATATATAAATTCATATGAAATTAGGAACATCTGAGATCCAGCTTGACCATAAATTTATTCTCATCGGTATTTAATTTGAAACTCTCACGCGGTCCAAATAAGATTTGATATTATCTATATAATCGCTGAAGAAGGACCTGTGAGTTCCGAAACGTTCGATAATTATTATTTATATTTTTTATATATCTTATGTTTTGTTTCTTATTAACATTGTAAATTAGAAATTTATTATATAAAAAAATCTTGTATAAAAAATCTTACCGCTCGATTTAGATCGTTTTTTTGTTTATACTTTGCATTACAAAAAACAAGCAAAATCTAATTATAAATTATCAATTATTTCTAGCGCTCAAACACCTTTTTGGTATGGCATATCTGGTTCTTTTTTAATTGCTTTTTCTATTATTTTTAATTTTTTTTATTAGTAAAGATACCTACATCTGTATTGTTATGTTCCTTAAATAAAAGTTAGCAATTGATTTGGATTGGGTATGTCATACATCGATGTGCTATTTTCGTAGTGGAATGTTTTTAAAAGCTATTAGATAAATATTACAAAAACAAGCGCAAGTAAATACATGCAATTATGTTTAACTATACGCATGAAAATATGTACAATATAATCTTACCGCAAAACAATATGATTGTTCCGTCCAGGAAAATCGCGTGTAAAATTACCTCTCATTGAAAACAAAGAAGTTCCCGTCATCGCGAGTCTAACATTGGTACCAAAATCGGTTGCTTGCACCGATTCTATTGTCAACGGCACATTTATACGTTGTTGATTAACGTGAAACTCCATGTTATAATACATTTGATATATGTTATCCGGTAAAGAGGACAAGTCTAGAAAATTAAATAAGTAAATGATATAACATTGTTATACAGTCGCGATTATAAATTACAAACTACTTACACTTCAACCCTTCAATTATGTTCGTTTCATTCCAATGAACGCACAATACTGTCTTTTCTTGAATACGCGCAATTATTTCTAAATGCATAAAGCCTTTTTTGCGTTCATCCACTTTGAATTCTTTTAGAATATCTTTTATGTTTGTCGGGTTTTCAAAGGAAGTCGCTAATGAGTGGAAAATACCCTCCGCTTTGATATACAACTGATGTTGCGTTAAAAATAGATATTAAATTAAATTATTATTTAAAAGAGAGTAATGCAAATATTTTTGCTTTGGAAATTATATATATATATACTTACAGACACGTGATTAAGGTGCGTTCCACTAGCATAATTACTTAAAGTCACGTATATTACTTCAGGAATATTCGTAGAAGGATTGGCTATGATAATGCCATGCATCATAGCACCGAATCTTCTCAAAGAATCTTGATAATCAACTAAATAATTACCAGTAATCATATATTTATTATTCGGTACCCGAAGTACGCGACTGAATTGGGCCGCGATTTTGCTTCTGTAAAATCCCGTAGCAGCAATTAAAAAATTTAAGAAATACATATAAAAATGTTAAATAAATCATTTATGTTAAACCCCAATAACAAATAAAAGAACAGTACAAATTCATTTAAGCAACATAAATTAAATCAAGAAATTTAGTGCGGTAGATACATTATGAATACACAACGATGTAAAAATTAATATTCGATTAATATTGTTATTGTTCTCTTTCGCTCTGATAAATTCATACACGTATTTACATGCGCCTGTAACAGGGATACGTAGTGCGTTCCATAGATTTTAGCATTGTATAAAAATAATTATACAAGTGTTGATTAGGCTCATTTTGCATGTACCAATACACAGAGATCAATCTGTTCGGCGTAGGACTGGAAACAATAAGCAAAGTTAATGCAGCGACCCTCATCTCCAAATATTCGGTTCTATTGAGCAAAATTGGCCAATATACAGGATAAATCTGCAAAATTATTATATGTAATTCAATATGAAATATGATGGACAAACATGATCTGTGTAAGTAAAACAACATTCAGGCATGTATTTAAAATACTTTTATTTGAAAATGATATTTGTAAGACAATTGTATCGTGTATTTTGTATTTCAGTAGTGTACATGAAAATATTTTGCATTTTATATTTTATGGAAGTATATATATATATAAAAGTATTTTATATTTTAAAAATATAAGTACTAAGATAACGCTTGTTATTTTTTAAAAACGACAAAATTAAGATATTGAATTTCGGTATTATAAACAAGCAAACGATGTAAACAGTTGACAAACTTTATTATAATAATTTCACAATTTAAAATTTAAAGCGATTTTATATTTTGTATTTCTCAGTATTAATAATGAAAGATTGAAAGTATTTTGTATTTTGTATTTTAAATACTAAGAATGACAATAAATGTTATTATTTATATTATGAAATACATGAAGCTTCTTTCAACCTTTCAATTTTAAATACAAAATATATGTAATACTTTCATGTACACCCCGCTGGAAATATAAAATATGAAATCTACTTTTATTGCGAGAAAACTGTGTTTTAAATAAAAGTATTTTAAATACATGCCCAGCCCTGAAAACATTGATATATGTATAAAATGTACACGGAAGATCACTTACAACGTCGGGTCTCAACGGTGCTGTGGGAATAGAGGCCCAAGCCGCAAGTACTCGAAAATTTCGCGATTCAGCATTATTGCTGCTAGCTATAGGCTCTAAGAATTCAACAACTCTACCCAGCTGTATATTCGCCAAACCTTCCAACCAGACCATCTTCTGCTCGTACCGAGTAGTTCCTATAACATGGATTGAATCTTATCCGGAAGTCTTATTCGAACAATATAAATTGCAACACGAAACAGATGTATAATATAAATTGTATTACATATACCAGTAAATTTATCGAGATACAGGCGTACGTAATCATCTAACATCTCATATGGACAATGCACCGAACAAGTTTTGTATATTAATGTTCCGTAAGTAAGAATCGCGGTATTTTGCACCTCCGCGCTGATTTTGCTCGGCAGCGTAAGAAGCGGTTGGAGACTGGCCAGCAATTGAACGTCGGGCTTTTTTATGTGAAATGGTAGTCGCATGAGTAATTGAATCGCAGATACGTCGGATACTTTGTTGCCTTGAATAAGATCTAATATAAAAAGCGCAGATTCTCTACTTCCAACTTGCGACAGCGCCTCGAGAAACATATTTCTGTTCAGACAAAAAGTACAGAAATATATAATTTATCTCAAAAAATAAGGACGAGTGTAACAAAAGGGATTATTAAAGTATAAATATACCGTGTCGTTTCTTCTTTATAACTAGTTCCTGAAATACGAGTGTAGGCCTTTTCTAAGTCAATCCGATTTAACATACCGAGATAATAGAGGAGCACTGATATCGTTGTGTTGTGAAAATTATGAATCTCGGTATCCAAACCAGGATTTTCGAGCCTGTTGCTTAAACGATCTAATAAACGGCTTATCTGCAACGATTTGATGAGAGTTTAACTGGAATAACAAAACAGGCGGAAAAGAAAAGAGGAAAATTAAGCTCACAGATTCAAAAACGAAATTTTTATCCGGTGTACCTCTACCCTGTGTGAGATCTGCTTCCGGTAGCTCGTGTCGAAGGACTGTAGTTCGTAAATTATTTGTAATTATCTTATTTGCTATATCCTTCATTGAGTCTAACTCAATAGTTTGTCTATGTAAAATAAAGCAATTTTTATATATTTAATTCTCACTTTGAACAGTAATAAAATAATACAATACATATATGTTTGTAAAATATACCGAACAAAATGATAATGCGCCTCTCCCATACTTTGAAAAGACTGCACATAGATACTTCCAGATGTATTTACAGAGATGATATTGTGAACGAATCCATCGGTTTTTAATTGATACACTCTCTCGCTACTTTTCAAGATAGGATTCTAAAAAATATATAACATAGTATATATAGATATTCGCATAATTCAATAAACTATATTAAAGAAATATATCTAGATTACATAACAAAGTATAAAAAGGATTTTGTTTTATGATATAAGTGACTGATATATAACTTTTCAAGACAGATGATCTTTTTTCTGCATATTGCGAATTTATAATTGAAAATGCTCCAACAATAATATACATATAATAGAATACCTTAATTATTTGACAGCAATAAAATTAACTATCAATCAATTATATAATCATAGAATTTTGGCGTTTCCCAAATAATTAATGAACCGATTTTTCTCCAAAGACTGACATGCTGGTATATTTTCAATTATGAACTCATAATCTACAAAAAAAAATATATAAAAATGTTGTACAGTGTCATCAGTGACAAACGTACTTGATCCTCATCAGTGCATTGTATTTTAGGAACGTTCGACCAGTAGCGATTCGGATGTCTAATACACATCCGCGGATCAAACGATTTTCTTATCAAACGACTATCGCCTTCCTGACTTACAATGTAATCAACATCACATTTTCCATAATGGTTTATCTGTGAATTATAATTTCTGTATTTTAGTGCCTTCCACAACATTCTTATAGACTGTATATTATTATATACACATAATATTTAATATTGTGTGTGTATATATATATATATATATGTATATATATAATCTAGCCGTTGTGTGCAATATATATTTATTCGCATATATTTATATCCGCCACTTACTTCACTAGAATTAAATGCGACTGTTTTTTCTAAATTAAAAAGATCCAGTTGTAAAATTCCAGCTATGCTTCGTTTTATATTCGTCGTCCATGCGGGCTCAGTTTCAGTGTTGAAGTTCTCGATAAGCCCTTTATTGTATGATAAACGGAAAGGTTTCAAAAGTTCTACAGCATCATCATAGATATTAATATCTTCTATCACTTCTTTTACATTGCCATTATGCATGTTCGTCTTCAATGATTGTAACTAATATAAAAAGTTAAGATATTACACATCAGGTTATAATATAATAAAATTTAAAAAATTCATATACGTTTTTTATAATGGAAAAGAAGAAAAAACGAAAGTAAGAAAATGACAACTATTTTGAAAATACCTGTACTGTGACAGAGTTATCTTCCGCTTGAATTACAAGTTTTCCATTAAGATTCCACGAAGAAGCTGCGTTAGAAGGCACTAACACACCAGTGCTCGATGTAACATTGTAAGAATATACATATTCTTTCCCAGATCTGAATAAATTTTGCGTGATAGTCTCGGTGCTTAAAAATAAGAATATGAATAATATTTTTCCTATCCTTTGTGCTAATACAGATATCAAATTGAAATCTAGAAAAGAAAGATTTTCCTTATATATTATCTGACTTATCATTTTCCAGTTTTCAATTCTCTTGTATGTTTTCACAATTATTGAAAACTTTTACAAGATATATTAAAAACAGGGGAGAAAGTAGACTTTTCTCATTATCAGTAATAATTATTAAGATTGTAAATATTTCGCTTGAAATAATGTAGACGTCTGTTTCTTTTTATTACTTTAATATATGTATATGTATATACCTGTGTCGAACTTCATGATGTGTGATCGTAGCTCAGAGAAAATAAACTGAGTTCATGCAAGTCAAGGAATGACCCTTACCAGTTCTTATCACTGTGACTCACAAATACAAACAGGGTTACTTGTACATATTTATATATATACAGGAATTATGCTCTCGACGCATTATCTTCAATCATATAGATCGCGCGTGTATTATATTATCATTGACCCTTTTTCTCACAATACACAAGCATATAAAATATGTATACAGGGAATGGAAGTAACTCGATCGTTACTTGTAACGAAGTTAAAGTTACAAGTTACTTTTTTGGTAACTTTGCTGATAACTGTGTTACTTTCTTTTTTTGGTAACTGCGTAACGGTAACGTAGTTACATTTTTTAGATAACGTAGTTTACAGTTACTGTTATCGTTACTTTGCATACGATTGGATACGTTATTCTGTTACGTAACAATTACATGTTATTAATTACGACAGCTATAAATGTGGTTGTAGAACATTGAGTGTTTTTACTTAATACAAGCGTAAAAGCTACACTTTAGTTTAACTTAATCTAAACATAGTACACACTTTGCTCTAATTGAGCTGTGTAAAAAGCTTTACATTTCTGTGTACATTTATGTTGAGCAATTGGAAAATATCCCGTTTTGCAAAACTTCTGTTATATATTTTAATTATAGCGTTATAATTTTCTTTCTATCAAAATATTGATTTACAGCTAAAAGTATAGATTAAGTAAAAATATAGCTGTATTATAATAAAGAGATTATATGTATTTCTTAATTTTCTTTTAAATTTCTAACTTATATTGTGATTCAGATAGTCTTATACAATCTTATATAATCTTCTAGTTTTCTGTAAAGTATAAAAAAATTCCTATAAATAGTGTCAATGCTATATTATGCTATATATATATATATATATGTATATATATATTGCTTTTATTAACATTTAAACAAAAAACATTGCAAAAGTACATTTTCAGATTGATTTTTAAAAAGTAACAGAAAAGTAACGAAAAGTTACATTTCTAGTAACGGTAACTGTAACGAGTTACTTTTAAAAAGCGATAACTAGTAACGGTAACTCATTACCTTTTTTATTCGGTAACGAGTAACTGTAACTTGTTACTTTTAAAAAGTAACTTTTCATTTCCCCTGTATATATACACATCTCTTAATTTACTCATAGTTTGCTTAGATCGAAGTATGTACAGAAAAAACTGTTAATATTTCAATTTTGTGTGATAAAAATTACCAATTTTGAGCACGAACTTCGATCGAGTCACACAAAAGTAAATATATTCAAGATATAAGCATATTCTTCTTAAACAAGAGCTATGTAAACGATGTTTAGTGTGGGCGAGTTTTTTAATTCATTCGATTGATCAATCGCACATGTTGATCAATCGATGAATCAAAAAACTCGCTCTGTATATATAATTTGTGTCTTTATTTCTCTTTAACAATTATTTTGTTAGTTGTTGCTAGTTATTGTGAGCAATAGGTGAAAGAATCTTTACTTATTTTATGCTTGATGTATAAATGCTTATTATTTGTATTAGTTTCAGAAACAACTAAATCGGAAAGCATATGTTTATTAATTCGTAATATACTTATTGTCACTTTTATTATAAATTTGTCAAATTATATATCTTAAAGAACGTCATATCTTATTGATACAAGAATTGAATACTTTTGTTTCAATTACAATAATTATTATTTTTAAAAGCAAGGCTTGAATATATTATTTACAGATTGATTTTCCGCTTATCTCTATTGTGTACAATCGGGAAGTACATCATGTCATGAATTGTCTCATTTAGTTTATTACTATACAAAATTGTATCTTCATATATTATACATTTGACAATTTACTGTGATGCATCATGTACAGAATCCTATTATCGCGTTATACGTATAAAATCTATCAACAAGCACATTAATACTAAAAGCAGGAAATTTGACAAAATTTACTGACACATACATATATAATGGTCAACATATTATAAGGGTTTAATTATTTTCAGGATGGACTTTGCGTATTCCCAAGCTTCACTGTAACACATAAATTTTATTTTAGAAAGAGTTCATATGCTTTGTTCGATTTATAATATAACAAATCGTTTTTTTTATTGCAATAAATATTATTTATAAATACTTACTTATGTGCAGGGTTTGCTTGATCTAACTGTTCGCTAAGTTGTTGAATAAGTGTAGCGAACATTTTGAGGTGTTCAATAGTTTCTCCTTGCAGCCATGCTCTTGGTAGCGTACTCATAATCTAACAAACATTGATAAACGTTTTATTTGTTGCAACTGAATAAAATTTAAGTACTAAAAATATCTTTTATGATATAATATTTATTAGATTTTAATGTATTAAATATGAGACATACCATGTTTGCCTTGATTAGAGCGTCAGTTGCACAAGAAACGCGTAATCCAGCGAGCAGGTAACGATTCAAAAGTGAGCCAAGTGCTAAATTTTTTAACTGTATATCCCCAAGGATACCTTGCCAACTTAATAAATTGCGCAATAATTTAACAGCCATTGCAAATTGCCTTTGAAAGAATTGATGCTTTGTATCCCAAACTCTGAAATGTTAACTTGTATTAAAAACAACGAAAGAATAATATAACCATATGAGATATCAATTTATACGCTAAATATACTGACTGTTTCGGGAAGATAGGTATGAAAACATCGTTTTCAATAGCAGCTTTAATTTTATCTAAAATAGCATTGAATAAAATTTCAAACTGTTTACTAGTGTCGTTCAAATTAGGATATTCCTTTATCAATCGATTTATAGTTCCTACGAGACGTAACGTTTGAGACGTCGACATTGGATCCCATATTTTTTCGATAATAGCTAAAAATTATTAATATTAAATAAAATTATTTCATTTCTACTTATAATATCATAAATAGTATTATAAAAAATAACCCTTATATCACTCTTACATGTCAATTTTGGTATCACAATTTTTTCAATTGTGGATGGTATTAATCTAACATCTGGATCTTGTTTTAATGACTCTTCTGTCTCTTTACTGTCTAAAGCATATAGAAGTAATGTATTATACCACTTCGTCCTTTCTAGATCACAGGTTTCCTGTAAAAATAATTACATATTAATTATAAGTATAATTAAGAAATTTATTTGAAAAATAAAAAGAGAGAGAAAAGAGTGAACAAAATACCATAATCGGATTCCAAGTAAGTAATTGTAATCTGATAATGGGCGAAATAATTTTAGGTAAACACAACGATACATAAGCTTCTGTATAGGCATCCATGTCTGTTTCTCTCCATGATTCAAATTTTGAAAGGATACCACGTACTGTACAATATTCCTCCATGACGTCAGAAAATACATTTTTACAATTATTATCGATTTCATCTGTAATAAAATAAAAATATGTGTTATCATAATCATAAAAATCATATATTAAAAATGTAAATATAAAATTTTAAGGAAAAATCAAAACATAAAATTGATTATTACCTTTCGCTTGCTTAAATACAAGATTTTGTTGCTCAGTGACTTCATCGTCACTAGACATGCCATCAATATGCTTTAGAATATTTGAAGCTAATTCTCTTGCTCTTCTACGACGGGCTCTTCTACCTTCTCTCTCTGTAGCTCGTCGTACGTGTATTTCTACTTCCGGTCCTCTTCTCATGGTTTGACCTCCTACAAAACAAAACAGAAATTATAAGTAGAATTTGTGTTGCAAAATCTCTCAGTAAAATTTCTGAAATGTAAGGTTATTAAGTGTGCGGTCAAACGGACCTTACTGAACGCTTCAATCACTTTCTATTCTAACACTTTCATAGATCCGGTCAATGAACACTTTCGAAGTTGCAAACGCTTCACTCAGGTACGATCAAAATAGCGCTGCAAACGCTTCGAAATTAAATCGTTGACCAGCATACGACATACAACACATAATATTGGAATACAAGTACGATTAAATAGATAGAAAAAAGATAATTGTATTAATATGCGTAAACAAGTTTTTAGAATCACTCCCTTACACAAATGAATAGGGCCCTAAGGGCCTTGGCACACAAAAAACTTAAGGCAGTAATAAGACATAAGCAGTAAGAAAATCAACGTTGTGGATTTGCTACTGTTTAAGTTATGGCCTTACGGCCTCTACTGTGATTGGTCAATTCGCTTACTGCTAAGTCTTACTGCCTTAAGTTTTTTTGTGTGCCAGGGCCCTAAAGTGCCCCAATATACTAAGTCCTATCAGTATACTATATACTGATCGAAAATGTACTAACTTGCTGTAGTAGTTATTTCTTCCGCCTGATCTCTCGTGTCTTGCCGTCTTCGTTCCATCAATTCTACTGAACGTTCACTATACAAATCTAACCAGCGTTGCTCCAAGTCAATGACCAGGGGAAGCTAACAAAAGAATTATACATTTTAATTTAAATAAATGAACAAATTCTATTAAATAAAATTGATGATGTCTAAACTGACTGGCTTTATGATAATAACATTTGCTTAAAAAGCATTAATTTTTAGTTAATCGATAGTGTCATAAATTACATTATATAGAAACAAAGCCAAGTGTAATTATATAGAAAATTCTTTAACATGACAACTGTTCACATATTAAAAACAAATAGATTAGACATCAATTTACTTACCACAGTCAAATTAATTTATTAATCACTTGTACAATATTTATCTTTATAAAATGTGTGTCAAAATAACGTAATACAGAGAAGATAATGACCCCCGGCAATGGAAACGTGTATGTGCTACATATATGCATACATCCTTTCTATTT